CAAATTGTTAATAAAATAAGCAGGCGAAAGTCGACACCTAACAAACCCTCCCCCACGCAGCCGACTTATTCTGTACCGTAGCGCAGTCTCCCTTAAAATGCCCCTCTGCACGCTTTATTTTGTTGCCGCCCACGCGCATCTATCTGACAAAGGGCACAAAGGACGTCAGAGGCAAAAAAATTCGTGGCTAATTAGTCATGCGTAACAAAAACTTAATAATCTAATTCATGCTGTGACAGCAACCGCACAGACTAGCCCATAAATCCGACCCAAGTGGACAGAGGGTGCCAGCCATCCATCATGTCATATAATAAACAAGCTGCGAATGTACGCTAAAGATTCGCTATTTTAACACCCTTCTCTCACAAAATAAAGCCCCCTTCATGCTATCGATTTACTTTGTAATATTAGAGCAGAAAGCATATTTTTATTTAGTCAAATGAAAAACCGCTCGAATTTCTGGAACTGTTTGTGTCTGTAAATAGTCCTTAAGTCCTTGTCATTTAAGTAACTAAGCAAAATATTGTCAAATCATGCTTGTCTCATATCTGATACATTCAAATACTAATATAAGACTTCGTTTAATATGATAGATAGACAAAAGAATCAAGGTTGCAAATCTATTTTACATTCGTGAGCTTTAAACCTGAACCGAACCATATTTGTTAAAAAAAAATTGTTTGGTTATGAATTGATATTTTTAGGTATTTCATAAGAATAATGCAACATTTTTGTAGTTTTTCAAGATTAGCAAAAAATGATTTAAAAAAAGAAGTCGGAAAATAAAATCATATTAAAACTCGTATTGTTCTGAAATTCAAAAATATATATATTGAATCAAAATCTAGGTTCGTAGATGTGGCTGATCTAGTTCATGAGTCTCTGGATCGCACCGAGAACCGAACCATTGAAAATAGAAGAGAATATGTTGCATGCTGTCAGATGCATGTAACATATTGCTAAAGAAAACTTTACTTTACTCAACTTCAATATTATTAAAAAGCGAATGCAAATGTTTGAATAAAGTTTGGATAATCTGCAAAACTCGACCTGTTGACATCAACTGTGTGCCATCGTAGCCGTTGCTAAACGTTGCGGATGGGGAATCAACCCTAGAAGGGTTGCGTGCACATAAGTAGTATGAATGTGGACGTTGTTCTTGGGCGGGGGAGTGGGGCGTAAGGTGAAGGGACAGGCTGTTGCAAACTTACCGCACATCGGGATGAGCATCCAACATGGCGCGCATTAGTGTCGTACCAGATCTGGGCACACCACCTATGAATATTAATGGCATCCCACGGTGGTATGCATAGACGCGATTTTTGTTATCAGTGACTTGTTTCTGGGCGTGCGTTGACGTGGGCGTGGCATCGGGAACAAGAAGGTGGCGAAAGCAAGAAAAAAGAAATGTAAAAAATTAAATTAGAGAAAAGTTACAGAGCAAAAATTACGTGTCTCCACGATGATAATGATGATAATTATGAGAATGAGCATCTGACAGCCTGTCTAGTGGATGGAGGGGATGTCGCAAAGGTGCCAGAGGCAAGCGGCGCTGCTGCCAACTAAATTTGCGTAGGTACACACACAAACACACACACAAATACATGGATAGATTCAGGTGTGTATGGGTAAAAGCAGCCCGTTAACCTTTGGCGCGCCTGTCGCATTAATGTCAATTTAAAGGATTTTCCTGCGCCGTAAAAAATTCTTGAAGCAATGCGTTCAACTCGAGAATCTAAGCCCATAATACGAGCCGTTTTAACCACTGCGACGATAATATGCGTGAAATTATGGTAGATTTAACAAAGGCATCAAATAATGGCAGTCAGCGACATGCCGAACATTAAATACACTTGTAGACGACTGAACGAATATGGCTATAGAATCCATATAATAAAGCAGATCGATTTGATAGGGCCGGCAGGTATATTGCAATTGCTGAGTTTGGTCAAAATACATCAAAATATTCCATTAAAAATCTCATTACTCGATTGATTCTTGCTAAACAGTTATATTCTATAGCAGTTCGGACTACTATGATAACATTTTGTTCATAAATAAACAGCATCAAGTTTGTTTGAGGATGTATAGAAAGAAAAACAGATTTTCATACAAGAACATTGATATCGACCGCTTATGGGTATTATTGGATATGATATGGTGGTCCGAAAGGGCCAACTGCGATATATGAACTGTCTGTAATACTCAGACGAGCCACAGCCAAGATTAAAAGTTAAGGCCGAGGAACTACTTTGCACAGACAGACGGAATATACATAGATATATACTGATCAGGAATATACCTATATATGCATATATTCATTATAACGTTCCACATTTCACATAATGAATAAAGTACCCTTTGTAAGAGTGCAACATTTAGCTGCTGCGAGTTTTCCCAACTGGTCAACAATTGTGGTAAGTCCCAAAATTTGGGCCTCTTAGTCAGCATGTTTAATCGATCTGATAAGCCTGAACTCGAGCTGTCTGTCTTTAGTCCTTATCGGACGAGTGCTTTGATGCGATAAAAATGTGACAAGCGCAAATAGATTGTGGTCTAATAATGAATTATTGATCTGGGCAATTACAAATTGAGGGCAAACGCAGTTCTGCTGGATACATTAAAAGGCTTAAATACTTCAAAAGCAATGTGTGCACTACAGTGCTGCTCAACTATGACGAAACATGATGATTATAGTATATATATAAAATAGTATATCAAACAGTTTGTGGTGCACAGCGAACAGTTATTTACAGTTGTTATCTGTTTGGGTTATCTGGCTATCTGTTTGTAAGAATCTATAGGAAATTGAGTGTGAAAATTGGACGAAAAACTGTTGTAGTTGCCATTCGATTACATTTTATTTTCAAAGAGCCAGTTCACTGGCTGGAAGATGGAGGTCCAAGCATTAAACTAATTTTCACAACATATTAATTGAAACGTAAATTCGAGTTCGCAATTGAACAATGGCTGGCAAAGCTATCAGACTAGCACCCTATATATATATATATATATATATATATATATATATATATATATATATATGTGTGTGCATATAGAAACTGTGCTGGCATTCCAGCTGACTAGCTGCAGGTTTGAGTGCGGACTTACTACAGTCCGCACAAGGAAATCAACCGCAGTAGAAAACGATAGCAACAACAGCAGGAAAAATTGCAGCTCTCGTTGCCATTTGGCCAACTAATGTTTACAAAATGGTGCTCGGCCATCCGATAACCAGCAAATCCCCCAATGACTTTGCATGGCTTGCGGTAAGGTCAGCGTGTGCAGTCAACATGAAATTAGTTATCCAGTCCTTTGAGTCTAAAGAGGCGACACATAGATGGTGTCAATGTTGTTGTTGCCACAATTTGATTTATCATTTACAATCGTCGCCCTGGTCACTGTTGGTTTCTTAATACTGGACGCAGTCAAGAGTAAATAAACTTGACTTGATTTCAAGTCCAAGTGTGTGTTGGGATGAACGTATAAACATATATATATATATACATATATAGTAGATTCTGCTTACCTCCAATCGGAACATTTGTGAGGGTCCATCGTATGTGGATTCCACCTTGAATAGACAGGTCGGGCGCAGCTCGGTGAATTTGAATAGGAACATCGTGATGACAATTATGCCAAAGAGCACCCAAAGGGTGACCTTCTTATTGCGATATGGCAGCCGCATATTTCTAGCTGCTTGCGGCCAACTGAGGTGTGAGCTGCTAACTGCTTTTTGATTTCAATCAGCCAAAGTCCGGTTCCAGCTGCAGCTTCGGTGCACTCGAGCCGTCTATTGGTATTGCCTTATTGATTTAAATGACTGTTTGACTGTTTGACTGTTCGACTGCCCGACTGACAGCTGTGTGTCCGCTTCTGGCCGCCGGACGTTACAAGCTTAAATATGTAAATTGGTTTCTTGAGCTGCTGCCGACAGGCGCTTACAAAATTTCGTTTGCTTTCTTCAACTATTTGCACTTGGCTGGCTTTCAGCTGCCGCTGCTGCTGTTCCGGTTAAAGTTGCAGCTGCTTGTTGTGCTTAGTGTTGATCTTAGTTCTGTTGTGTTTGTTGTTGTTGCTGTTGTTCTTTTATACCACGGCAATGAATGCGTCTTTGGGATTCGCTATGCTTTTGCTCCTGCTGCAATGCCAGCTCCTGGGTTTGCTGCTGTTCTTGCTGCTCCTGCTGCTTATGACGTTGATTGCTTTGCATTTCCTCGCCTTTGTCTTACCGTCTCAGGAACTCTGTGTGGTCAGCATGACCAGCAGCCAGTCCAACAGAGAGCAGCAACTGACTCTCTGATTTCAATTTTCTACACTCGACTAAAAATTTCTATCAGCTGGCGCTTGGGTTATGTTCATTTCTCTTAATTTTTTTCCTTTTCTTTTTTGGTTTTTAATGTTAACGTTGCTCAGTTTCTCTCAGCTATGCTAACTCCCTGTTTTTATAGTATTTAAACATATTTACTTAGGCAAAATTTGTTTTATATTACCGCCAGTGTGTGTGTGTTTGTGTGTGTCGACATGCGCTCAAGGATCTGTGGATAGAACTTTGCGCTCTCTTTTATTTTTCTAGCTTCTTATTTTTTTGTTTTTTGTGTCCCCGGGAAAGGTCCTTGTCAGTGAGCGTGTCTGGAAGTGAAAAACTTCAGTCATAAGCATATTTAAATAGTTTTCAAATTATTTGCAACCGACTTTGTTTGGTGCGCAACGACTGCCCGCGGCTGGCTAGAGCTCGACTTGGGCTATGCCTTAAGTATTCAGAGTACTTTTCGCTCCTTTGCTGCACTTGACTCGACTCGACTCGACTCGACTCTCGACTGACAGCAGCGACTGCCTTTAAGTGACTACGCACCTTTTTGGAACTGCAGCGGCAGCTCGATGACTCGCAGCTACCAACTTCAGTTTCGGTTCAGTTTTCAGTTTTGAACTTCCAACTGCAATTCCAATTTCAATTGTGATTATGACTCCTCTGCTCGCCTCCTCTGCTGTGTGTTCTGCTGGTGCTGGTGCTGGATTGTGTTTGGCTATTTGCTCAGTTGTTCACAAATAACTGCCAGCCCAAAAACTTAATGAGCTGAAATGCCAAATAGACTGGAACCAACGTTAGTGATATGTACACATAATAGCTCCAATTGCCGGTTATTTCCTCCGTCATAGCTGTCAAAGAAAGAAGCAGCAGTTACGCACAGAAAACGAACAAACTATTAGAACAATTGCCAATATGCAAACAATCAAGCAACATATAAATAAAACACTTTTGATGACAGACAACAGATACAAGACACCCATCACAAACAATATGATGGAACTGCTAACAAAGCCAAACAACTTGAAATATTCAAGAATGATACATCGTACAATACATGTACATATAAATATAGACAGACAGAACATATGTGCCAGACTTTGTGTCTTTGTGTGTGTGTGTGTGAGTTTGCGTGTGTGTAAATAATAGGAAATATATTTATTATGTCTGTTGGGTATATTTGATTAGAGACATCTATAAATTCTATCTACATACAGCACAGTACGTTGTTTGAGACATGAGCGTGACTCGTGGCAAAAATTCCATTCAGCGCTTAAGCTGCTTACTGCTTGCTACCAACCCCACTCCCCACTCCCCACCCCCACCTACAATGCCAACGCCAACGCCAACCCCAATTCGAATCCCAATCCCAGCGCTGCCAAGTGATAGCAGTTGTGCAGTAGGCTGCCATTCGAGAGCTCAAGTGTCGACCATATAGTGGCCATATACTAAGTTGAGTGCATGATGTCAGCGCGACATCCGTCAGAGCATCTGCCCCGGGCTCTGGGCGGTTGGGGCGTGCTCCAGTGAAAGGCGGAAATTTACCAGGGCCAACGGCAGCACTTCAAGCTAACCAGATCCAGTCTCACAGCTCAGTTGCAGATTCAGCTGCATTTTCAGTTCCAAAACCACCTAAGTGGCTCAAGCCAAGAGGCGTGAATGTGCGTCAGATGCGGAGCATTGTTCCTAACCAACAGACAACTAAGCCAACCACCTGCACTTTAGCTTATATTTTGCATCTTATAATGATATAGTCGAGAGTTCTCGAGAAGTACGAGCACAGCAAGAAAAACCTCGAGTTTGCCTGAGACCAGGATCATTAAAAGAGATTTAAATTATTTAGTCTTTAGCTTAAGATAGAAAAATGAAGATATTTGCCTTTGGTATGGGGGGAAATTATTTATCCAACTTAATATCCGTAGATATTTGCTGGCTCTGAAATCGAAGAGCCTAAGCAATTGCATTTATGTATGCATTTATTTTAAATAATTTTAATTTAATTTCACGTAAAAGTGAGTGTTAATCTTTGTTATCGGCATTTGCACGAATTCAAATGCTTTGCATTTTTCTTTTGACCTGAGTTAAATTTAGTGCATGCAGCTCCTATCTGCTGCTCCTACCGCAAGCTTAGTCTACTTGTCTATTTAATCTTTTAATTAGCATTTAAGTGCTGGGAACTTTGTATTTCGTCGAGAGACTTGCGTAACTTTTATATCTCACACACTTTGTACAACTTTCTCCTGTGGTTTACGAATCCCTTTTAATTCCAATCCAATTTCTTTTTTCTTTTTTGCAAACTGTTTTTCAAACTAAATGTATTTTGAAAGCATCCAATTTGCTTAGTTTTTTGAGCACCTTATCTGTGAGTCCTTTCTCTATGCTCGGCTACACACAATCACACATACACACACACACACACACACACACCCACACTGACACACACAGTTTAAGCACGGTGTCCGTCTACTTGTTGGACATTCCCCAAAGCACCTCTCTACCAGCTAGATGGCAACTGGAAACGGATAAGAACTCCCGGACAAACCTCTAGTATGCGGTGGGCTCTGAGCCGCCCTTTTGATGTTACGAGGCTTGAGATGCGTGTGTGTGCTTGTGTGTACACACATGACATACTACACGTGACAGAAGGTCCTTGTTCATATACTTTCTCGCCTGTGCTCTACTATGTCTGATGAAAGTTGCGAAATAAAGAAAAAATGTACTTTTGCCATATTTTGCATAGTAAAACAGGTCTTATGTATTTACATGTAAACCAAAAATGCTGCAATAGCTTTGGCGCTGCGTTGACCTCTTCGCACCACTCACACCTCTTACCTCTCACTTCTTGCTTATGCCGCAGTTAGAGCAACGCCCAAAGGGACCCAAAACTTTTTAGAGCAAAGTTACTGGGAATGGTAACGCCCGCCCCCAATCCACTAGACGGCTCTGCCTCTCTTGCCTTTGTGTGCGCTTTTGCTCCCAGCGGGCAGGGCAAAAAAGCAAAAAAAAATAATAATAAATAAAATAATAATAAACCAACAACAAAATATAAGTTGAATTTTTGTTTGAAGAGGTGCCGCCCGGCTTCCTTCTCATGATCATCCAACTACTTTTCCATAGGCACTGTGCGTATGTGTGTGTGTGTGTGTGTGTGTGTGTGTGTTAGTGGGTGAATGGTAAGCACGATGGAACCTTACAAAAGGCAGCTTCATTGTTGTTGTTTTCGCTGCTGTTGTTGTTGTTGTCCATCGCTCATGTTGCTGGCGGTTCGCTCAAGTGTCGGACAAAGTCTTGTAAAAATTAATAAGCGTGTAAATTTTATTGTATTGCCAAACAGCAGCCCACTCTCTTACACACACACACACGCACACCCTTGCACAGCCTCATATGCGACACAATACCACATAATATACACACAAACGCACACCCACATCTACATTAAGTTTAGTGCATGTGAAGAGTTTTGCTTTATTTGATGGTTTTTCGTCTAGCACTTCGTTTTTTTTTATATTTTTTTGTTATCCCCCAACTTAAGCTTAATGGCATCGCGTTTTGTTTGGCCCTTCGCACAGTGTCCCACAAAGTGCGCGAATTATGTGCATTATGAAATAGACAGATTTTAGGGTTCTTAAATATGGAAATATATCAGCAAAAGTGTTTTATTTCTGATTTAAATATATTGTCAACAGATATAGATAACAATTTTTTTGTCTATCATCTTCATAGGTACTCGGACTCGGGCCCTTAACTTCGTGCTACTCAAGCAACTAACAAAAAAAATATATATGATCATTTAGTTTGAAAGAATTTCGAAATAGTCTTATGAGTTGTCTACTCGCTAGCATTTGGCTAAGATATACCCTGTTTCGTGATCTTAAATCAGAAACATCGCATAGATGGGCGATAGAAGAGCGCACTAAGAAAGGGAGTCAGAGAAATGAGAATTCGCATTAGAAAGACGGAACAGGTGAGCGCGAGTGAGAATCGCGAATCGTATAAAAAATTGAGCAAAAAAGTAAATGTATAATGTTTTAATTTAAAAAAAAAAACAAAAGGTGATTGTAAGATTGAATTCTCAAATGGCTTGAACACATCTGATTTTATTAGGTTTATTTTGCTGGCGTTTTCCATGACTCTTGAACCACTGTGGTGGCAATGGCTGGCGCTAGTTCTCACGCTTGTTGCGCTCGGTGCGTTGACGGGGACGTTTGCGACAGTTTAAGTTGGAAGCTTTTGTTTCAAAAAATCTGCATAAATAATGTTGCGCTACGCTTGAGGGCAGTGCAGTGCCGGGAAGTGTTGATGATTTGATGGCGAATACGGAATGCTGAGCCGGAACGTAAAGTGCCTTAATGGCAGTCTAAAGACCTTGTTCTAAATTGCAGTTGGAACGCTTTGAAGGCTTCCAGCGACGCGGCGAAGCATATCGCTGGTGGGCTCTCCGGCATTTTTTTTTCTCTCGCTCTCTGTTTTTTTATTTTTGGTCTTCATTTATCTCTCAGCTCCACTTGCTCACCATCTTTTTTTTATATACCCTGTACCCACTCGAAATATCTTTGAAAAAGGTTTCAAGGTATTGGGCAGAAAAAAGCATCTTCCTTCTCATAAAGTTTTTATACATATTCTTGATCGAAGCGACAAGCTCCTTGATATTGGAAACAACAAAAATCTGTAGGCTTGAAATTTGGTAAAAACATTCTCGCATATCGTAAGCTCATCAAGTTGTTAGATTGAATTGTACAGAAGGAAGTGCAAAAGTATTTTACGGCAACTCGGCTCTGAGTACAGGGTATCTACAAGTTGGCCACTCTCGACTAGAGAGTGCGACTGCGACTTGTTTTTGGTTAGGAGTGTCTAACTAAACGCGGCTAGCTGGTTAATATTTAGCAACTGGCGCAACGACAGCTCATTTATCAGCACGTCGCTCATATTATAAATTACTTGGACAGTATGCACGACGTGCAGCAGCTGCTGCCTCAGTCCCAGTGCTATCTGGGCTAGCCAGACCTCCGGGGACTGGCCCTTCGATACCCAGTGAAGCGGAGAGACCGCTCCAAGCGCACAGAGCTCGAATCCGTAGAGCGCACTCCACGTTTGCACAGTGAAGCGTGCCGAGATTTTAAAGTGAATGAGTCGAAAGTTCGAGGCAAGCAATGTGTTAATTAAAATTGAACGTTTCGCCGCATCCGACGATGCCACGACGCCGCGATGCCAAGAATAGGAGCAGCAGACACAAGTCAAACTTTAAGTAAAATGGTATAATTCAATTGGTTATGTCAACCATGGTCAAAATTGAGGCTTCAGGTTCGATCTTGGATACTAATTGAGCCATCAAATTAGATGGTGCATTGAACTTGAACCAGCAGAGCGAGACCTCAATAATTGCAATAGAGGCAGATGGCGAGAGAAAATGTCTCCACTCTATGTTCCCAATGAACGGTGTAGATCAGTCTTACTCAAAGTGGGCGATAACGCCCCCTTGTGGGCGGCAGAGGCCTGCAGGGGAGCGATAAAGTGCACAAAAACAAGATAAGATACATGTGTGGACGCTAGAGTTTAACTAAAGTAATTAGAGTTATCATTGCGATGGGGATTTTTTAAGTGGGTGTTAGCTATACATTTTGGAGGGCGCTAGAACTTCATGAATTTACAAAATGTGGGTGGTAGATGAAAAAAGTTTGAGAACCTCTGTTCTAGCTTTAATGCTAGTTAAATCAAACAATTAAAAAAGTAAGAATATCAAATGCATTAGATTAACAATTTCTTTTTTTTAAAGTAAAAGGTATAATAAGAATATTATTTAGGCATGGAAGACTGGAATTTCTCTTTGAACCGAAGCGTTCTATATAATTGA